CCTTTCTTGTAATGTTTTAACGAATAAAACCTGTTTTTAAGCTTCAGCTTGTAGAAATCAATGCGCTTAGCTGTGATGACCGTAACTGGGAACCTACTGAAGGCTGGGCAGAAACTTGCCTGCTTGTTCTAGGATGGGTATTTCCCATGCTTCTGGGCTTTGCTGGTTGCTCTGTGGGGTTGGGAGGGAATTCTACCCCCTCTTTTCTGCCTCGTGTGTCAGGTGTGGGTGGCAGAGGTTAAGCCTTCCTCAGAGACATTGGGTATTGGCTGCAGCCCAGGCCGGGGATGGTGACTGAGCTGTGCCATTTCTCCTTTTGGGACTTAAAGCTGGAGGTTCCTGGCTAAAGGGTCTGGGGGTCCCTTCCAGCCCTACTTCTCTATGGCTGCTACATGAGATGCTGACTGCCCAGTAGCTTATTACTGCTGCACAGTAGCTTCTCACTACTGCATAATAGCATTGCGCATAGGCGACTGGTAGGGAGGGTATGGGGGGGCATGTGCCCCCCCTGACAGGGCCGTTCCTGCTGCTGATGCCTCTAGTGGCTTCTGCGGGTGCTTGCCAGCCCCGTCCCCACCACCAACCTCACCACCAGCTTCTGCGGGTGCTCACCAGCCCCATCCCTGATGCTGCCGCCGGCTGCTGTGGGTGCCCCCCCAGACTCAGGAGGCACCAGTCACCCATGGCATTGTGTGGCATGAACCATGATGCGATGCTACTGCACAGTAGTAACGAGCTACAGTGCAGTCAATGTTACCAAAAAGCCATTTGAGGATGCGACTGTGCAGTACTGCCGGTTGCTGTGCAGTCATTTAGTACTCATGTATACAAGTACTAAATGACTGCGCAGTAACAACTGGGCAGTCAGCATCTCATGTAGATGCAGCCTGTGATTTCTAGCAATCCTATATATAGGGTAAATGTAAGCCTGGGGTCCAAAGAAACCCATTTGAAACCTGCACAGGGTCTTTTAACATGTAAATGATTGTGACATTGAATCTGTAGATCAAATCCAAGGCTTCCTTGCATCTCTGATAGAGTAAGAGCTTCAGCTGTTAGTAGCCACTGGTCTTTTCTGTTTACAGAGTGGCTGCTTCGCACATGTGGAAATGAATCTTAAGTTTGACTCCAGGGTTTTCACTTTGACCATCCGGTTAGATGCCTAGATATATGGATTTTCATGTCTAATTCAAGCACACACTTAATTTAATGAAAGATCAGTATTCCTTTAATGGGAGCCATTTGGAGCCAATGAAGCAGCTTAGTAGCAAGACTTGATAGATAGGTAGTATATAAACTGAAGCACACAGGTAAGTCTTTCCGGGATCAGGGCCTTAATAATGTTAGGAAACTGCCTACCTGATAGTATGGTCACTCTATAGTCTGTAAGCAGTAAAGAATATGTGTAAATCGTGTCAGGATTGAGGCCCTAGTCCAGCTTCCTGGTAGTGAAGAATTGTTCCTTGCAGTCGATACCTCAGTGTATGGCTCGTATGGCACAGTGTCTAGAGCTCTGCTAGGATAAAGCGGTATCCCATGATCTGTCTTGGTGAATAGCATGAGCAGCAGTTTTTAGGTAGGTTTTCATCTGAAAATGTTCGCTTGGGAAGGTTTTGCACAATGCCATTTTTCTTGCATCTACCGCCATTTCTAAATTCTGAGATTCAAAAATGTTGAGCTTATTGCTCAAAAAACAAGGCTGTTTGGCTGGACTGGAAGCATGCCCAATTTTCAACACAAGCAAATTCTATTAAAAGCTTTATTTGAACATAGAGGGGTTTCTCTCTTCTTTTCTTGCCTCCTGGTGGCAAAGCTTTTCACATTTCTTTGCAAACCCTGCCCGCTGTTCTAGTTACAAACGCAAAGGAACCTGCTGGCTTCATCCAGGTCTCTGCCACAGACTCAGCATTGAGGAGGTTGTGGGGATAACTGGGAAATTCGGATCCGGACCTCAGCTTTCTCACAGTGTCTGACACAGTTCATAGCTGTGGATTTTTCTGGGAGCAGGACTCGTCATAGGAGAAGGAAAGGACATGGGTTACGTTCTTTAATACAGGGACGTTCAAGAGGAGGCCGCACACCCACTCTTTTAAATGGGCCCGTTGAAATGTCTGCCCAAACAAAAGAGCAGATGAATGCCTGCACAGACATAAATACCCCCATCTAGTTAGGAGATGCTTGTTGCCATTCTTATTTGTTTCTTTATTGAAAAGTTTCAGATCATGCCGAAGACATGCAAGTCAGGACGCATTGCTTACGTTAGACATTCTGCCCTGTGTCCGAGTCATAATACTGCTCTCCCCCCCCCATAAGTCTTATAATAAACAGTGTATTTCATACCTCTAGGAGTGGTGCTGGCATGTCTAAGACTGAGTGTAACCTAAGCGTAACAGATTGCCGACATCTATCCCACCAACAACAGACAAAACAAAAGGACATGACAATAAACAAGAGAAAGACAAGACATTGCCTGGCAGACACGAGGGAGAGCCCACAGACAATTTCAAAAGGGGATTTCTTAATTGTTTTAAGAGCTTGGCTAAATATGTCAACATAAGAGCACGATCCCGACCAAAGATGTTTAAAAAGCCTTTCTTGTTTCTCTTCTCATGTGTCTGCTGTATCATCCAGAAACTAATGGAAAACAGAGGACTCGCCGATCTGTTTGCAAACGAAACTTTCCCCACTGGAGCCTGATGCACGTTGAGTAGAGTCATCCCTGGCCTCGCTCCATGGGCTTGAGCAGAGCAGACAGGAATACGGCCCATTGGGTCCAATATTTATAACAGAGCTGTTATCTCCTACTGCCCAGCAGGAGTAATCCCACTCACCGCATACGTCCCATGAAGCTCCCTCTGACATCAGTTATGCCCTTGCAGCAGAGTGAATTAGAGCTGTGCTGGAGCTCAGCAGTGAATTCACTAGGATCCAGGAAAAGGAATTTGCTTTGTAGCACTTTGCTCTCTCTGGGCTCCACCCTGGGAGAAAGCCAACATTTTCAAGTGGAGTCAGGCATCCACATTCATATTAAGGAACATCTATCCTTGGTCTGGCTTTTCAGAGGCCCAGAATCCCTCGACTCCCCTTACTGGACCCTCATCAGGCAATGACATGGCTAATCTCCATGTGCACCACTGCCCGTGAGCAGATCTAGGACTTTGAAAAGAGGGGTGCAGATGGTGGGGTGCATCATCATGTATTGCACAACATATCTTTTCTCCAGTTAGACAGAAACTAGAAGGTTTATTAATAATATAGGGAGGTCTAGCACTATATTATTCAGTTTAAGATCAAAGCAAAAACAAATATGAACGTATTGGAATGTGAGCTACTTTTCTAGGGTATATATTAAGTTTAAAAAAAACACCACAAACTAGGCAAAAATAGCCAAAAGATAAAGTTTCATTAGTCCTGTAGCCAGCGTAGTTTGATGTATATCTCTTGTGCAGTTTCATAAAAAAAAGAAAATAAAATGTGGTTTTCTTGAGTGTCTGGACTCCAGCACTTCACACTCTGCCATTTCTACACTTCAGTTAATATGACCGCACTTGAGTGAAAGTTTTTAGCTAGAGTTAAAAATAGTCTGCAGGGCTGTGAAATAGTAGAGACATTAGCAGGCATGGCTAACAGGCAGCAACATTGCGGAAGAAAGGATAGTTTGAGGAGTGGAGCATCAAGACCATTAAAAAAGAAAGAGGGTCATTGACACCTGTGTAGTGAAGAGAGGTTATCACGAATTAGGAAGATTAAAAATAAGGCTCTACTTAAATTGTGGAGAAGCTAAACAATTTTCACAGGCTAGAATTAATACCAAATTCCACGGATATTTCCTGGATAGGCTCATACACGATATACAACAAAGTAATTTATATGTCGAGTTGTACAAAAAGTTTAGAAATACTAATTTATGCTTACCTTAATAAAAAACAAAGGTAGGTGCCTATGTCCCGGTGGGGGGAGGAGGTACAAGGGGGCAGCCGTCATCTTGTGCGTAGCTGGAGCCAGGCAGAGTGGCCCCGGGCAAGATAACTGCTGCCTTTAGTGCCACCAGCACCAGCCAGCACCATCCTTTCCCCTGGGCGGGCTATGTGGCTGGGTCGCAGCAGCAGCGAGGACCTCCGGCTCCCAGTGGGGAGCCAATATTTTATTTTTATTAAGTTTTTATTTAAGTTGATTTTGCAGATGATCCCATATTATGCACTTTTTGCAAAATCCACAAAATTGCAAATTGAGTAGAGCCTTAATTATAAAGAACAGGGGAGTCACGGACTCTGTCCTTAAGGATGGCCGTGTTCTCCTAAGGCCCCTTGACCGTGCCAGTATAGCCCAATGGGCACCCTCAGTTCTGGCCTGCCACATCTTTGATGAGAAATATGAAAATAGGGAGGCTAACTTTAAGTCCTCCTGGACACGGTCTGATGGACTTACTGAATCCCGTGGGTTCCTGGACCCTTTGTGGGTCACGTTTCACAATGGGTGTTTCAGGGGCACCCTAGCCTTATGGGCTATATACGTGGCTCCAACCACACCTTTACCATGCCCCAAGCCTTGCAGATGGTACTGGCGTTGTCTTGCCTCGACCTCGTTATAATTCGGCCCCTTGTCCTCACTGGGCTCTCCACAGCCCTGTCTCTGCGCCCTCACTGGTGCCGGGGTCCGTGCACCCCAAAATGCCGCGCCCTCTCTGACACTGGGGTCTCCACTCTGTAGTGGGCCCCAATGAGGCCTCTTCCTTCCCCAAATAGCCTCACCCAAACCACCAGTCTTATAAAACTACAAAGAAAACATAAGCCTCTGGGCTATAACTTAACACAGGCTACCGAAGGTGCACTCTGCCCCTTTTCCATTACCCGGAGCAGGGGTTAGTCAGGTCTCTTTCCCCTCTCATTCTCAGAGGGCCCCTTCCCCCTTAGCCACCGGCAGAGAACTGCCTCCCTTAGTTTCAGCCTGGGGTTTATATGGGCCCAAGGCCGTGCCCCTTCCTGCCAGCTGGCAAGGTACAAGTGCTGACTAATTTCCACCGTAGTCGCTTGCCATGACAACCTGCGCCTGGGCTCCTGCCTGGCTCTTTGGGCTCTCCCCAGGCAGTTCCTGCTCTTCTAGGAGCAGGGCACCTTCGTGCCCTGTGACAGACTCCATCAAAACTGTCTGAATAGAAATGCCACTGTCACTGCCAGGCCATTGTTTTAAAAGTTTGGATGAAGCACAACCCCCGTTTGGATCCACCCCTGCTAATACCCCTTAGGAGACAACCTTAGGACTGCTCATCCTCATGATATAAGCCATAAACTGCAATCCGTTGACAGGGACTTTTGTTTGGCTCCAGTGCTAAAGGTCTGAATTTTAGGAGCAGGACCAGCTAAATCCATCCCCCTGATCATGAGTGAGCTCCAAGTGGTGTGATGTACAGAAGAGTGACAACTGTGAAGTCCTTTGTGGCTAAGGATTTGTTCCCATATATGTGGTTTAGCCAGTCTGCAAACAGGAAAGGCCAGTTGTGATTTCCCACTAGACTATGCCATAATTTATGAGATCATGTTGTAATTACCAGGGATTTGCAATAAGGCCTTGGATTTCGTATGTGGCTTCAGTGTCACCATAATTTATGCATTCATACACTCTTGACATATATCAACTGGGTCGCTTTGGGCCCTAGGCTCATACTGCAGCATGCGCATGGGATTACTCGTGTGAGTAAAGTTTATACATGGGCTTCAGTAGGATCAAGGCCCTGGACACCATCATTAAGTTGACTGCCAGCAAGCCACAGCTGCATGCCGAAGGGTATTAGACAAGCTTATTCTGTACTGGAGATAAAGCATGAAGCATGGAGTCAGCATGGATGCGTGAAAAACAAAGTCTTCTGTGTGCACAACGAGAAAGGAGAAGCTGCCTCTAACCACGCTCCTCTGCGTTTCCTCATGGGTCTTGCCCGTGAAAGACGCCAGCAGAAAAGGAGCCAAAGTCGGCTTGGTGTGAGGTTCTTCCTTAAGAGAAAGCCTTACGTGCAATAAATGAAACAGCTGGAGGTTAGCGATGAGGTATCTTTTTGTACGTGTGCTCTTTTTGATATGCCCCAGTAAAGCAGAGTCCATATGGGATCGTGTTTTCTTGCTCCAGCAAGCTGTTAACAAGATGACATTGCTTCAAATGAGACGGCAAAGCCGCAGCGTTTCAAAGAGGGTGTTTGTTTGCTTCAGAAAACCACTTAAATTAGCTTGGTGAAAATACCCTTGCCCAGCTTGCTCCAGAAAAACCGACTGCAGCCAAATCAATCAAGCTGCCCTTGGGAAAACTCCCTAATGCGAAGCAGCTTGCTCACCATGGGTCCAGCCCCTCGCTCTCATTTACACCGGGGCAATTGACTACAGTGGGGTGACTCTGGATTTACACCCGCGTGATTTGGAGCATGGGCCTGGATGGCTCCCATTCCTGTGGCAGCCGGCATGAGTGATGGTTGGACCTGTGTGTGTGGACCTCCTCATGTCCCCACCTCTTCCCAGCAAGGGGTGCAAAGGGTTGCCCCCCCCACCCCAGCAGTAATGGCAGGGGGGCTGTTCACACACCTGGCAACTTCCTCCAGTGCCGGCACCTGCCCTCTCTCTCACACCCATCTGCTCTACACACCCCTGCCACACACACACACATGCACACACACACCTCCCACAACCTCCTGGACCGTCTCCAAGCCCTGGACCTCCAACCCCCACTCCCCATAGACTTACCTGCATCCAGCTGCCGGGGCTGGTCTCACCACCCAGCCTGGCTGCATGCCGGCCACGTGCTTGTGCATGCAGAGATTCATGTGGTACCCCCTGCCTCCAATCGCTCTCACCCTGTTTTTCCCAGCCTCAGCAGCTGCTTGCTAGGGCAAGCCAGGAAGTGCAGGGAAAAACTTCAATACCAGACATTTATTCATCTTTTTTTTAAAAACCCCGGATGGAGATTGGAGGACCCAAAAAGAGGGCACGTTCGGAAAAACCTAACCCTAAATTGATGGCGTGACCTCTCACTGCTCCAGTCAAGCATAGGGAGCTGCACTCCTTCCATTCTCCCTTCCTTAGACCCTTGTCCCAGGAATCAGGGCTCTAACAGCACCGTTCCCCCAGGGACTCCCCCCGGCTTCAGGGAGCTGAAGGCATGCAGAAGCTGCATGCAGAAGAGGCTGCTTCCCTGGGCTCATGACAAAAAGTCAACATGCATTTGCTCATGCAACTAACATAGTGAAACGGCGTTTTTTAGCCCCATTTTGTAACATGTATGTAACCAAAACACAACGTGTACAAGCGCCCTTCCCAGTTTACTTATTCTCCATCCACTGTCCCTACAGGGATCTGGTGAGAAGCCTTCAGTGTAGGTGTGGGATGCTGAGGGGGCTGAGCCCTTCACTCCGTGTGGTAGGGGGGAGAGCCCCTGTGTGCAGAAGGTCTAGGCTATAACACAAGCTGGTGCCATTAAAGACATTCTGGCACAGCCCAGGATTCAGGTGCAGTAGGACACCAGAGGGACATGCATGCTTTTGTGCATGTCTGAATGTGTGTCTACATGGATGTTCTTGTGCATGTGAATATTCATGCTTGCTTGTCTGTACAGATGGGTGTCCACATGTATGTGTGTAGTGCATAGGTCTGCCTGTCAACGGGTGTGTTCATGCTACCAGCCAAGGCCACAAGGGATTAACTGCCAGCTGCAGGCTTCAGCCATCCAAGTCCCAGGTGGCAGAGAAGGGCACCAAGCCTCCAACAGCAGACACGTGGATTCAGAACAAACAGGGTCATGCCACAAGCTCAGCCAGAGGCAGATGAATATTTGGATGGGGGCCACAAAGCACAGAAGAAATAAATACTCGCATGTCACTGCTTACATCAACTCAGCGTATAGTCAGTAGGTCTCACAGCACTTTGCAAAGGAAGTTTAGAGGTGGGGGGCAGGGACAGAGTTTAGGTCACAGTGTGCAAAAGAAACAGGCAGGTCCTAGCTTCCAGGCCAGCTTTCTAGATGATGTTGCCTCCATTTAAATGGTGGGCAGGTTTGCCTACCCAATGCCATTTCATTCTGCAGAATCAACTGCACATCTGCAACAGTTACGGATTGGCAAAAAATTAGGATTCATTTTACCAACAGATATTTCATGAAGATAGGATTCATTTTACCAATTGCTGATATTTCATGAGCATGGTGTCCCATACCCACAATAACAGTACAACCACATCTACCATAGCGGCTTCACATTCAGAAATGCATATGAAATGGAGAACACCGGATACAGTGGGCACGTCTACACATGCACCCCACTGAGCAGCACTTGCTAAAGTGAAAGTAAACACTTACTAAACACTTCAGCAAGTACTAAATGACTGCATAGTACTCGCCGGTACTGCACAGTCCTGGCAGTGTACGGGTCATTTCTGACCCCCTTGCGTAGTAGCGATGAGCTACTGCACAGGAGTTTGTTGCTACTGTGTAGTGTCGGTGGTGTCACAGTTAGTGTCACCGTAGCTCATCACCACGGCATTGTAGCATCCCGTGTAGATGCACTCAGTGAAGATAAGACTGTAGCTCACAAAGGGTAATCACAGACAACGAAGCCTTTTTCCTGGGATCCTTCAGACCTAGTAGCTGCTCCTGGTAATGTTGCTCTTATTTCACAGCCCTGCAGATTCTAGCTAAAAATTTTAACTCTGGTGTAGAAATGTTACCTCGGGTGACTGTAAACTCATATGTGGTTCAATGAATCCATTGCATACACTTTCAGGCTAGATTTTGTTTTATGAATCTGAGAGAGATGAACCTTTAATTCTAATGACTACAAGACTAATAAAACAACCGCTTTTATTTTTTGCCTAGTTTGTTGTGGGGTTTTTTATACATTGTATATGATAGAGCAAATTAATGCACATTTCAGAAACAATATGCTTGCTTTTGCTTTAATCTTAAATTGAATAATACATCCCTAGGCCTCTAGCATATAGATCCTAGTTTCATAGGATCTATATAGACCCCCATTTTCAAAATCCTAGGTCCACCCATGGTAGCAGCATCACTTTCAAGATAATTGCCAGAAAGGCAAAGTGTGTGTGAAGGACTGTGCTGCTTTCCCTTTGTCTCGTGTTTTTATTTGGGTCAATCAGAACTGTCTCTAATGAGACATTGTTCATATCCAAAGTGAGAGACGCAGACACAAAACCCGAGTCTACTGAGCCATAAGTTTTGCCTTTCTTCTTCATCAGAGACTTACTCCTCTGCTCCAAAAAAAATAAAATAAAAATCATTAGCTTGAAATGTCAGTGAGAAAGCAGATATGGGAAGGAACATTTTTTGCATTAGACTTGCTTTTTGACCAATAAGCCAACATATTACCAAACAGTAAATTTTAGTCTTGTGATTTTTATTTTTTTTTACTGAGAGCTGCAGCGAACACATTTTCTTCTACTTGCAATCTAAAATGCCAGCTGGTCCCTTCAGCTTTGGAATTCTGTTTTTCTTGACATATCCCCAAAACTATTGCTACTACATTATTATTAGTAGTAGTAGTAGTTGCAGTAATAGTATATAGTCATGATTCATGGGTTAGCCGTGCAAATCCAAAACAAAGACAACGTTGCTGCTAACAGTCTTACTACTATAAAACTACACACACGCACACTGCTGGCAATCCCTCAATTCAAGGGTGATCTCTACCACAGCTCGCTGATGGGTCTTGAGATGACTTAAGAGTCCAATCCTTGAGCCACAGATCCAGCAACAGTAGTTGCAGGTCTTTCTGCAAGGGAGAGTAGACTGTAGGTTAGGATTCCTCTCCTTCCTCCACTCTTCTCTGCTTCAAGGACAAGACCCTTTACCTTGAAATGGGCTGCCATGTGATTTAGCTTGCCATGCCATTGAAGTCAGTTAGTAGCCAGCTCCTCTCGGCTCTTGATGTCAGCAGCTGTTTTCTTGAAGTATGTCTTCAGTCTGTCCTTGTAGCATTTCCTTTGGCCACTGCCAGATCTCAAGCTGTGCATATATGTATATGTTTATGTATATGTATGTATGTATGTGTATATATGTGTATATGTGTATATATAGAGAGACTTATGTATGTGTGTGTATATGTATATGTACATATACCCATATACATATGTATACACATATGCATACACACACACATATATACATATATATACACACATATATACATACATACATGTATATGTGTGTATGTATGTATTGTGTATATAAGTATATGTACATACATAAACACACGTATGCATATATGTGTGTGCGCGTGCGTGTGCTGCAATTTTGAAAAAAACCCAGTCATCTTCAAAGTACCACACCAACAACTTTTAACAAGACCGTTCTGGAATCATATCCCAGTTCTCTGATGATGGCTTGCATGCATAAAAAGCTTGATCCAGACCCCATTGAAATAAATACAGTTCTTCCAACTGACCTTCATGGGCTTTGGATCAGAGTAAAATTCTCAGCCTTGCCTCTCATGCTGCATACACGCATTTTTTCATCTGTACCCTTTCCTTGCACTAATGCTGCTTATGCATGTAAATACATGCAAAATATAAGTTACTTATTGAAAACTCGGGTCCCCAAACCAGTGCAGTGAGCATAATGTGATTAAGCTCAGGTCATAATAATACTATGTTTATTGTTAATACCTTAAGTAATACTTTGATTGGATCTACTGACGCAATGTCAGAGCTGAATAAAGCCACTGGCCAAGTCTTGCTTTTGCTCTATTCATTCCCTCCTGTTCTGGGATGACAGTTTGAGCATTCTCACTCTAACCCAAAAGGACCTTTTCAAATTCAAATACATTTTGTCAGAGACACAATAAAGGGACACTGAGAAGAAAACCACATCTGTGACTAATGCACCAGCAGCCTTTGAGACAATGTACAGAACATAAGGCAATTCTTCCAAAATACAGTAGGCTTGAATACCTCCGTGGATACAACCCTGCATTACAAGACAGGCAAGTTAATAGTACTGTTTCACAGCTGCTCTTTGCCCTTCCCTTCTGCACGGGGAGCTGGGCTTACATAGAGAGCCATCTCCCACATGTGGGAGCAGGCTGCCCATCCAAAACCACTCCCAGGCCTGTTGGAAACAGGTATTCTCAAAGGGGAAAAGCAAGTCAGTTATCTTCAGCGCTGGCCTGAAAGGATCATTGCCTCTACACATCCTCACAGACCCACCCGCCTGCCCTACCTATGTAGATTTGGAGCAGTGAAAGGGGACTGATAGCAAATGCACATTTGACCCAAACGGCGACTCCTTTTCGATGGCCCCCATGATAGCAGCAGCACACAATGTATTCCCAATGCCATCCCCAAGGGAATTTGGCTTGGGTCACGGTTATTCTCCAGAGCTGAGACTCACCGGTGTTTTTTAATGGGTCGCACAAAACAGCCGTGTTTTGAAAACTCAGGTAGGGTTGTATAGCTCATGAGTGCTTGAGCTAGGGTTGCCAACCCTCCAGGATTGCCCTGGAGTCTCCAGGAATTAGATATAAAACTCCCGGGACTGCCAAGAGTCGCCCCAGAGATAAATGATAGGGCATTCATTAAAACAAATATTCAAGATTGAATCCAATCTATATAATAGCCCAATGGATTTTTAAAATGTAATAGTAATGCGCATTTGCCTTCCTGACGTCAAGTTTATGCTCCGTAATCCGTAACTGATATTTGAAAGCACGTGGGCACGTTCGCCTTGTGGGTCACTGGCATGTTGGTGGTCTGGAGGCCTCCTGGAATAGATTCAAACAGATTTGGCAACCCTAGCTCGAGCAAAATACAAAAATGGGAAAAAGTCATGATTCAGCAGCTGCAAGGATGTAGCTCAGGACTAGAAATTTGTGTGAGCGGCCTTGTCGGCTCCAGAGAGCACCAGCCTGCAGATGCTATCTGTTTTAAGAGGTCCAGCTATGGGTGAAGCCAGGTTGCTTCAGTCAGAATAGAGGGGCAGCTAGGGGTGTTTCTGTGAAAGCCAACCATATCTAGGGCTTTATTGCATTTGGGGGCCTGAGGTCAGTTTTCGCCACCTCCCACCTGCGGACAATGAGATGGGTGGTCTTTACGCTAATCACCCCACATGGAGTCCAGCGGGCATCAACTACTGCTGAGTTCCCCACACGGAGAAGGTCTCGTTCATAATAATTGCTGCTCATGTCTGGCTTCTGGCCTGTGAGCACCCATCACACTCCTTGCAAACCCAGAAGTTTCTGATACGGATGGGTCTTTGCCCACTCTTGAGCCCTTGGTTTCTGGAGTGACTAGGAGAGGCCATTGGGGATGAGCATGGAGCAGCCTCACTGGGGTAGTTCTGGGTTTGGAGCGAGTCCTATCGTTTATCTCCTGGGTCTCCTGGAGATCATATCTAATTCCTGGAGACTCCAGGGCAATCCTGGAGAGTTGGCAACCCTAGCTCCGTGCAAGAACACACACCTGTCACGGTGTAGATAAGTCTGCAGAGGTCTGGTCCACGCTAGGCTTAGCTGGATGTGACGCTGCTTTATTGCATTGTGTTCTTTGCCAGGGACAAGTCAAACCGATAGAAGAGCATCCACATGTAAAAAGTCACACTGGTACATCTAAACCGATGCGACATCACAGCTTTCATTCAGCCAGGGCGATGTCTACCCGCAGACAAGTCCGGAGATACTGTACCAGAGAAAGGGCAGCGCTGATTGTGTCACGAGAGGAGAAAGATTTAAAATGCGCTTGATTTAGATTTAAAAAAGAATAAGCTTCCATGCTCCAGGGAACAAGTGAATGCTTCAGCCAAGGAGCACAGCACAGGTTTTTTGCCGCAGAGGCACTTTTATCTTGAAATAATTCCCAGGTATTAGCACGAAATATTACAGGGGAGGAAAAAAAAA